TATAGCAAGCATTTTCCAATTGGAAATTTTTCAACAATTATATTCATTTAAAAAATTATAGGTTTTCAAGCATTTGAAGAAAACTGCACAGATTTCTTTTTATACTTGATTCTGCGGTACTTTAATTTCTTCTATTTACTGCACATTTATTATTATGCATAGCTGATAAAGCATTTGCTATGAATGCGAAACTTCATAAATCACATGTCAATTCATATCAAAATTTGAAAAAATGGTATTTAAAGGCTAGATTAAAGACATATCTATACATATGTTCAAAGAACTTTCAATTACATTAAGGTTCATAAATTCTCTGCTCACTCATATAAAATGTTGCTTGATCCTTAATGATTTTCTAAAAAGAAATGTATTTGTAAGTAGAATACAAGCAATAAGACAAAAAGACACTTCAACTTGCAAATATATCATTAGGAATATTATACATTTCAGAGTCATTCAGAGTTATCTCTCTTATCAGAGTATCAATGAACCTAAAGATACATGAAATGCAATTGTATGTAAAGATTTCAATTTCAAGCTTCCTTTTGAGACTCTCATGACTATTTGAATAAACAAATAAGGAGTTATCCTTCCCGGCTGAAAAGTTTTCTTTTCTTTTTACCATAACGTCTTCAGATGAACTCAGAAAGCCTTCTACGTTGATGTTGATCAGTGAAAAATACATATCAGCTTTTGCAGATGAGAACGAAACCCCATTAAAAAACTATGAAGAATAAATTACCTGAACTTATAATTTTCAGTGCATACAGAATTTCTGTTTCTTGTACAAAACTTTGACTTCCAGGTACATAAGAATACCTTTTACAATATGAAATGAATTTAAATACAATCATAAATTATACTCATCTGATCAAACACTATTATTAACCTTTTCTATATATCTCTTGGTTATTAGCAATAGGACAAATGAACTGAACCACACCTACCAGAATGGAAATATTAGTCCTCTTTGGTTTTGACAAAAAGTGATTTGTCCGAACCTTGATTTTAAACGCAGCTTTGGAAGTCTTCAGACAAATTCTTCAATGAAAGTTTTGCAAAACATCCAGTCCGTCTGTCCTGAGTAAAGATATCTGAAAACACTTTGCTCCAAAAGTTTCAAAATCAGATTGTGATTTAAAACTGCTTAATTATTCCCAAAACATCTTCTAAACGCTTAGAATCCAACAGAGCTTGAGACTTTAAAAAGCACTGTTACAATCTGGCCTTCTTTAAAGAATAATCAAGATAATGCTATATTAGTAGTTAAGCTATTAAAATAAATACTTACGTACAGCAGTTTCGCTTAGTCAATTGCAAATTTCATTATTGTGTCTGCAAATGCATCTCATAACAAATCGCAGTATACTTTTGTATATCTTTTGAAGTTAACGTGCTTGTATTTAAAACGAGTTTCCAGCTTCAATCAGATTCTATATTTTTACAAATGTAGAAAAGGCAAGAAAGCAACTATATCTACGGCCATGCCAACTACGGTGATAAGATGCATATTGATTTGAAAGAGACTATGTGAATAATACATCCCCTCTCTGAATATATAAGGCCTCATTCTCCCAGGCCATACCAACATAATAAAGATATTCACAGATCATGAATAGTTCATGTGTCAGATTTGTCAGTTCCCGCCAACTTTATAAAATACTTACAAAGCCACGGAAAAAAAAGGAATCAAGATACTTAGATGTCTTGTAAAGGTCTTTGGCTAAATATACTACATTCCAAAATTGCAAACTTTGTCGAAAATTTGAAAATCTCAAAAAAGACTTGTATCAACAATGTACCATTCCAGCTTCAAGTTACTTACAGAATATGAATGGGCCTTGTCTGCATCATACAACATCTCAGACCATGCCAGCTTCTTCAAGCTAGTTACAGAACTTGAAAAGGGCCTTGTCTGCATCATACTACATCTCAGACCATGCCAGCTTCTTCAAGCTACTTACACAACTTGAAAAGGGCCTTGTCTGCATCATACAACATCTCAGACCATGCCAGCTTCTTCAAGCTACTTACACAACTTGAAAAGGGCCTTGTCTGCATCATACATCTCAGACCATGCCAGCTTCTTCAAGCTACTTACAGAACTTGAAAAGGGCCTTGTCTGCATCATACTACATCTCAGACCATGCCAGCTTCTTCAAGCTAGTTACAGAACTTGAAAAGGGCCTTGTCTGCATCATACTACATCTCAGACCATGCCAGCTTCTTCAAGCTAGTTACAGAACTTGAAAAGGACCTTGTCTACATCATACTACATGTCAGACCATGCCATGCAGCTTCAACAAGCTAATTACTGACTTTGGTATATTATGGCTTTGTCTGCATTACATCAATAGTACAAGGTCTTGCAAAAATCATCAAAATATCAAATTTTGAGACAAATTTTCTTCATAACAGATAGAAAACACTAAATTAGGTCATGCCATATGCATAATGAAGGCAATCTTAAAAACTCCTTTAAAACAATACTCTTAAACAGAATGATCTGAACCGAATCAAGCTATCATATTTATCGGCATTGGAATATTATGGAGCATCAATATACATGCATTTACCCTATGTTCTTTATTTCTACGTTTTAAAACAACGTCTATAAATAGGAGCATAAAAACCACTGCTGCTTAACAAAAGATTTATCCAATAAAGATATTTTAACTAAGATTTTATAAAACGACGTTTCATCACTTTGCGAGTTAATAGCAGGAACTATATATTAATTACATAATTTCCCAGATTTGAAAACAGCTTCAGAACAATGAACTAGCTACATACAGTTCTACATGCATCGATGTGTCACATTTGAATTGTAAAATTTTAGAACTGTTCAAACCATATAATGAAATTCAAATACATTTAGTTTCCGAAATAGCGTGTCTCGTAACTATGAATTAGAAACATTGGAACTTTGTTCATAATTGCTACCAAATTCAAACCCATCATCATATAGATATAAAATTATATATATACATGTACCAGGTACATGTACATACGTGTATTAATTACTACCAGGACTTTACCAGAATTATACTCATTCTCAAGTTACACAAGTTTTTTTTTAAATTTAAAAAAAAATTTTTTTTTACAGAGCTAAATTCAAGCATTAATTAAATTAATTAATTAATTAATTTAATTAATTGCATATTTAATATAAGTTATACATGTTTTACAAATCTCTGAATAAAGGGGAATAACTCCTGAATTATCCAAATGTTACGATTTGTATAAAATGTAATTACAGTTATCGTATTGTGAAATCATCATAAACAACTCGTTTTAACGAGATTTTTTCTCATTTTCATTTATTACCAGTTGAATAGCTCGTTATAACCTGACATTTTCTTTTGTTTTCCATTTTGTCTTTAATCATGACGATCATGGTATTTTGTATAAGGTACTTGAGAAATATTTCTTCGGGTTTATTTGTTTAGTATAATTCCTATCACATAATATTTCTTTGCGTCCTTTACATTCCTTTTAAAAATTACTCCTTCAACAGATAATGATAACGTTGAAATTTCAGGTTAACTTTGACCAATTCGAGCCTATAATTGGATTCCTATCAAGTTAAAAGTGGAGTGTTCCTCAGAAAACTTGTATTGCGTTGTCCCATCATGAGCGATTATGAAAATTATAAGGGTGATTAACTATTTTTTTTTCTTCTAGCTTCATAGCAGAAAGAAACAATTCAAAAATAGTAAGACCGATGCAATTGCAATAGTTATGAAATCTGACAATCGATTTCTTTTTTAACCAGATTAATTGGCGGTAGGGGACAGGCAGACATTAACACAATACTCTCAAAATGTTTGTTCTCTATTACAGTATTTTTAAATCACTTTTAAAAACGTTAAAATAGACTTGGTTTCCTGTTCTTCAAGGATGCTTCAATCATCTCTACTTATCACTTATAAACTCCAAGAATATTCATTTCAATGACTTTTAATCAAGATTTAAAGGTTTAGTTACATTAAGCATAAAAGTTATTTTGACGTAAAAAGGAAATCCCGTCAGATATTGGTACCTTCATTTGTGAGCACTTGTAAGTTTTAACGTATGTGAGCTATCATTGTTTATTATACGTAGCAACATTTTCCCTATTTAGGCAGATGAAGGAAGTTTTTTTATCGATATTTTTTCCAATGTCAGCTATACAAGGGACAACTGTAAGTAAAACTTTGCGAACGTTTCAGGGTCTATCTACAAATTTGACGAAAAAAGCATCATCTGTGTAGGTACAGTGATTTGGAAATTTTGTTGCTGCGCTTTGAACATTATTTATTATGATAAGTTTTTATCATATTTGTCTCTGTCAATTCAGTTAGTGGGTATAATTTAAATAAATCATGAGGTGACATTAGAATCACTCGTCTCTCTCTGAAGCTGAGTGATAAAAGTTTTTTTTTTTTTTTTAAAAACCAATCATCGCACTTAAAATCCTTGCATACTTTATCAAATATTTCCAATTTATATATTTAGCTTTTAGTATGTAATAATTTTTATTTTACGATCACCAGAGATTTTTATGTATATCAATACAACTAGTCTTTTGTGTTTTAAATTTTTAGTTTTTATAGAACCTTTTATTCCATCAAACTTGGCTGTTAGAAATTTGACTGTGAAATATGTTGTAAAACAATTATATCTTTTTAATTATCGAAATTCTTCCTGTTATAAGTTGAACTGGTGTACATGGTTTACATAACTGTATTCAACCACTCACGTACTTGTGTATTGAAGTGTACAGACATGCAGAAGCATAATAGAAGAGGAAAACAGTCATTATTGTATCTAAATATATACACAGACACAGATAACATTCACAGTCAATTAAATCCGGACAAATTCTGATAAGTGAAATATAAAGATTATTCAAAATATTTCAAAATATTTTTCATATACACCAAAAGACAGTTTTGTAAATTTGTATGTGTAATTCATATATCAAATAGATGTAGACTCCAACTGTAAAAATTGCCAGCCAAATGCAATTTGCCAAGTGATATTTTTATCATTATGATTTATTTTCTTTGATTAGCTACTAATACATAGAATTCCAGTATAAAGCGAAGGCTGTTCAATATTGTAAGTTGATTTTAATTTTAAATCAATTAAGAGCTTTATTAATATATTAAATATTTTTATTCTTAATATTTCCACTTTTTGATTTCTCATTTCATGCATGCGTTTAATTTGTAATGAATAAGAATTGTTGCAAAAAGTTTCTCAGTAGACTTCTCTGAGAAGAGGTGACTTTTACAATCAACTGCTTCCTTTTACACAAGCTTCTTCCTCTTACACAAGGAAACTATGCGATGTGAAAATTTAGCTAAACAGTTGATAAAACGATAACGATGGGTTATTTCAAAGCCAATATTATCCAGCCCGGGAAAGACAACAATCTTACCCGTGATCCACTCCCGTTCACCTAACAGTTTCAACTAAAACGTTTTCTTTTCTCTTTGACAGATAGGGGATCGAGGTTAAGAAGATGAACATATTTTTTATCATCATACATTTTTTAAGTATTAATGAAGGTAAATGTTAAGAAACTTTGAAATATTCAAGAAGATTTTAAAGAAAAGATTTAGTACTAATCTTCGAAGACTAAAAGTATATCAATTTTTTATTCTTAAGCTCTTGAGGATTTCTGGGCTTATAACTATTTTCTCTTCCTAGTATCTTCAAAGAAAAAGATTTCAGACCAAAAAATGAATTGGTTAGACGCTCAAAACTTTTGTCAAAAACAGGGAATGGTCTCAAAGGCTGGGAAACTTTCCTTTGATGAACAGGACTCAGGGAAGTACTGGACATGTCATTATACAAAGAGAAGTGACTGGATTCATTTTCTTGGTTTGTTTGCTGTTTGGGAAATTTTGTAAACTTTGATTTCTAGAGACAAATCTTTCTAAACATTATGTATTTCAAACAATTCTTATTTTCAGAGAGAGAATTACTATTCATAAAATAGAAAAATTATAAACATGATGTTGAGAGAAATCGATAAGTAAGCCAATTGTACCCTTTTCTTGAAAAATATAATTTATTGTTTTTATTACCGTTTGTACATTGCCTTCCTTGACTACTTGATATCTACTATACACAAGTTAAAACAACCTGTTCCCTTTTCATGGCCCAGTGGTTAGAGCGTCTGCTCTAGAGTTGCAAAGTAAGAAGTCCATCCTTACATCGCAGGTTTAAACCCCACTTTGGGACGTGGAAATGGGTCCTTCGGGTGAGACCTATAAACCGAAGTCCCTTGTCGCAGTAGGTGCTGGCACTGCTCAATGGCCGTAAATGCCAAATATAGGACAAAATTTGCAGCTCTCCATCGGCAAGTGGTGGCGTCTCCCTATGATTGAATAATATGGAGAGGGACGTTTATGAACAAACATAAATACACACTGAATTTTTCCCTTCCAATCTTGACAAGTTCAACACAGCGGGTGTGACTGATCGGCAGATGATGACCACTCCTCCTCGATACCTGACCCTACCTCTATTGTAAAAAAAAAAATTCGTGTTTGTTCTTCTCATGATTTTTACTGTTTAAGTATTCGTGATATACAAATTTTTATCTCCATATTCCATACAACTGTTCAATTTCTAGGATGTTTTGACCAGGACACAGTTCTTCATTATGCTACATCCAATTTGACAATCCTAGACAAAACATATGTTAAATGTCAGTTGTTCTGTTTGCCTGATTCAGAGATATTTGGAATACAGGTATGTCTAGTTGTATTTTATATGTCATTTTTATTGCTTTATTAATAGAACAAGCATAACATTTTAAGACTTCCGCCTTTCCTTTTACAATATACAAGATGATTTCTTTTGTATAATGTTTTTGTTTAGGGGAACAGTTGCTTCTGTTTGTCTACACTGGATCCACATGCTCATCCATTACACATAAACTGGTGTAACTTGTTTAATGAGAAATTTCCAGTTGGCAATGAAATGAATAATTCCATATTTATTTACAGGAATATAAGTAAGAAGTTTTTTTTGTAATAAAACCCCCTTCCAATTAATTACTATAGTTTTCTGATATTATATATCACACAAAGAAAGCTGATTGAGGGATGGGGTTGGGGTGGGTTATAATAATAATAATAAAGCCTTTATTTATCCAGGATGACATACTTTAGCAACAATGCTAGTTTTCAATATGGTCCTGCATTAAAACATACATACAGACAGGTATTAGTAAAACACAGTTTAAAAGGTATGGAGAACATACTAGTATAAGATTAAGATTTAAAAAAAAAATGAAATATAAGGTAAAAGATATAAACAAAATTAAGACGCATGGTGGTATTCTCTTAGATGGTTTCTTTTAAAACATAAAACACTTTATATTTGCACTCAGTGTTAAGAAACAACAAAAGATCTCTTATAGTACTCAGTTTTTGCCTTTGGTACATACAATAAATTTGAACTGGAATTTCTTGTTTGTCTTTGGCTAACATCTGATACATAATTAAACAGGTTCAAATAATCAGGCCCAGTAATACTTTATAAACTATATTTTTAAAGATAAAATAATCTGATAGAAATTCAGTTTTGTAAACATGACAGAAATGAAAATTTCTGATGTTATCATTTTAAAAGTTTTTATTTTGGGGATTACTCCATATATAAAAAGTAAAATGAGGGAAAATCATGGTATTAAAAATCTTCAACAATGCATCATTTGACATAAATATCTTATTCTTCTTAAAATACCAATTCTCTTAGAGATCTGCATACAAGTGCTTGCAATGTGACTTTTCCAGGACAAAGTTTCATCAATAATAACACCAAGTAATTTTGACTCTTGAACACATTCTATGACATGGTTATTTACAACTAAATTTAACATTTTGACTCCAACAAGATAAATTGAGTTTTAGACAAATTTATAAACAAAACATATATTTGAAACTGACTTATCAGTTACATCTTGTGAGGTATCATCTGCATACATATTTACATGAGAGTATTTCAGTGCTTGTGGATAGTCGTTTATGTACAAGATAAAAAATAGTGGGCCTAAAATAGAACCTTGAGGAACCCCAATAGTAACATTCTTTTCATCAGATAGATCTCCTTTCCAAATACCTCTTTGTACACGATTTGCTAGTGTAGGTACGATTTAAACCATTCAAAAGTAACGTCACATATACCAAATGATTTAAGTTTGTGCAATAAAACCTGGTGATTGACAGTATCAAATGCTTTCCTTAAATCGATGAAATGTACACCAGTAAGTTTTCCTTCATCAATATTTTTTAGCCATCTATCTACTACAGAAATAAGAGTACTTTCACATGAGTGCTTAGGTCTAAAACCAATCTGTTATTAAGGAATAATTTACCGATAAATACTCATAAAATGAATTAAAAACGTGCCTCTCTAAAATTTTGCTGACACAGGATAAAATTGATACAGGACGATAGTTGTTAACTACACATTCATCTCCCGATTAAAAAAGTGGTACAACACGTGCTTTTTTCCAGTCATTTGCAAATTGACATGAAGACAATGAAAAATTGAAAATATATGTAAGAACATCACATATACTGTTTGAGGAAAGTTTTAAAAGTCTGACTGATATACCATCCAGACCTGTTGCTTTAGATACAGACATATTTTTTATTTCATTTGCAACAAATTCAGTCGTCAAACTTGGTATCGTAAAGGAATTTTTAGGCATTTGTTCTTGTACAGTAGGTAAATTGTCATCAAAATGTTTTCCTAACGCGAGACCAATGTTACAAAAATAATCATTAAAACATTCCGCAATATCTTCTGAATCATCTTTAAGAAATGTACATTATGTACTAGTTTTCTTAGATGATAAAAATTGCTTAAGTCTGTTCCACATGTCTTTGGGCTTATTTTCTGCCTGCGAAATAGCTTCATCAACAAATTCTTGTTTGGCTTCTCGTATCTTACTGGTCACCCTGTTTCTCGATGCCCTATATAGACTCCACGCGTGGTCATCGTTGGTGTGAATCGCCATTTTATGGAGAGTTTCACGATAGTGCATTTCTGTAAGTATGTCATCGTTTATCCAGTCTTCTGATTTTGAGTTGATTCTTCTTTCTTTTAAAGGCATATGTTTATCAACGATTTTAAAAAAGTTAGAATAAAAGAACTCCCACATAGAATCAACATCTTCCATTTCAATGGGACTCCAGTCAATAGTATTCAGATCTTCACGGAAGCGGTTTTCATCCAGGTTCTTAAAATTTCTATACTTATTGTGTACATGGCTGTTTGTACCAGACGTAATTTTACCATTCACAGTGTAAATCATGTTATGGTCACTTATTCCAATGGGTAGAACTCCTGATGTGGAATACTTATCAGGACTGGTAACATAGATATGATCGATGAAAGTTCTGGATTCTTTTGTCTCTCTAGTAGCGCTTTTAATTAATTGCTGAAATCCAAAGTTTCTCATTATAGTCTTTAAACACTTTGACTTGAATTCATCCACATTGAAATCACCCATAACTATAATATTTTTGTGTTCCGCTATTAGTTGTTCAACGTGATCCTTAAACTTCTCTAACCAATCCACTGTAGAATCTGGTGGCCGATAGGATATAGCACAAGCTGTTTTAGTAGACTGCCCAATGGAGATGACAAATTCAAGCATTTCCAAATCATCTATGATGTTAATGTTTGTAACAGTAAACTTTTCTTTTATGTAAACTAATATTCCACCCCCATTTGGTCTCTCCTCACAATTCGGTATCCTTGAATTGATATCTCTGAATTTTCTACTGTGTTGTCCAGTTTACTCTCTGTCAAACCTAGGACATCAAATGCACCTTTACGTAGTATTATTTTGATTTAGTCCAGTTTCCTTAAAATCCCCCTCACATTCAGATGTGCATATAAAATTCCTCTAGGTAAAGTTTCCAAAAGTTCTTCAACAGACAGGTCAATACCAAAACCAGTTGAAATATCACTTACACAGGAGTCACATAGCCATTCTGCCTGATTTGGAATTTCTATTGTCTTGTTAGTACTTCTAACCGTTTGATTACATCCAATACAGTTAGTGTTTATGCTGAACCCCAGGTAAGGCTCCTTTAGGTCCTGGATTTAAATGGACATCGTTAGACAGCAGTAAACATAAGAATCCTATGTAGTGAGTGGTCCTCACAGAACTCTTTGATTTCTTTGAAACTCCCATTGATAAACTTCTTTGTATAATTTCACGTCCAAAACAGCATATTTTTGAATTTAAAATAGGCCATCTGAATCCTGGCGAGTAAATAAAATCCTCCTCCAATTCTTGGTAGAATAAAACCGTTGAAAATTGTTTAAAAGCCAGATAAATTAGGAGAGGTGTTAACACACATCTGACCACGGTGGCCATCTTATTACAAAATTAGTTGGGGGGTTAGAGTTAGGAATCAATATGTCCGTCTCTTTACGTTAAGTTGTCTTCTGATCATTTGTCCTTGCAACGTTACCCAGGCTATATTTTTGTACAGAAAAAATATTTTAGAAATAAGGTATATTTTAAAAGTTTTATTGGGGATAAAAAGGTTAGCCATGTGATCAAATCTCATAAAACCCGAAGGCCTATGTACACTACTTGCATGTGACCTTTTGACCCTATTCTTGTTTTACAGGGATGTAAAACAGACTGACTCAAAAAAAAAACATTTGCAAATGAAAAGATTAAAAACAAATATTTGGTAAAGTACACGGTTATGAAAAGGGGGTGTGTCGGGACCATGATTCAAGGTCATTTCGGCAAGTTCAGGGTCAATAGGTGAAAATATGTATATTATTATGCTTCGAGGAATGCTCAAGCAATTGAGTATCAGTGGAGACTTATACTTGGTACAGCTATTGTTTATGAGCAGATATTATAACGAAAAATGAAGCAAAGGTCATTTTCGCACGTTCAAGGTCACTGGCAGAAAAATATTATCAAGACTTCTTGTCAAGCTTTTTGACTTCATAACGAACAATCATTGGAAGCTCAAACTTAGTACATAAAATGATATAAACAATTATTGTGGCAAATTAAAGGTCAGTGGAATTAAAATTCAAGGATACCTGAAATTCTTATAATTTTCTTCTCAGGAAATATCGGATTCCATACTTATTAACAGTATTACTTATTTTACTTTATTATCTTTTTACAATGGATTTTTTGGGGGGAAAATTAAGGAATCATTTACAAAATTCAATTGGCACTTTGAAATATTGCAGCAGGGATATTTTTCTGTTAGTTCGCTTATTATATATATTAAAATTATACTTTTCAAAATTTAATATGAACATATAAATTCCTTGATATTATGTTTACAGAATTCAACGCTATTCGGTCTGATAAAAGTAAGTTTTTTTTTAAAATTCAAGTTTACTTTGTAGTGTATTCCTCTGAATCCACGATGACTCACTATTATATTATACTACTTTATTCTTATTAAAGAGTTACCGTGACTCACAATTGGGAAAATTGACAAACGTAGAATTTTTGCCTGACCCAAGTAAATTTTATTCAATACCTGAAAGTATTAGGTTTCAGAAAATTACAGGTTACAGAACCTAAAATTTCTTCTTCTATGGAGAAAAATATAAGTAAAAATTAATTTCAGTATGCTCCAGCACGAAAATTTTGCTATACTTTTCCTGAATTTGTACGCATGCGCAGAAATGTTGATTTAGTTACCATGGTAAGCATGGTCTTAAGTACCTAAGAATGAATGTAAGTAGAACAAGAATCTTTTTAAAAAGTTGTTAGAACATATTTCTAACATTCGTATGCTCCAGTTGAATGTTGTACTTTACAAGTTTCAGCTAAGAATAAAAGGGTGTGACTTTGTCATTTACAAAATCAACGAAAACGGTGGATACAATTTTTGTTTTTCCGGCACTTATATTGTCTTTTCTTCAATTACAGTGCAGTTTAGTTTCATATCTTTGCTATACTCATGATTTTCATAAATCTTGCGCTGTATGATACAATCTTAAAACAAACACATGATTTTAACTCATTATGTAACTTTAATAAAGTAATTCTACGTTTTCACAGCTGATGCAACAAATCATCAAAAAGATTTGTGTGTGCAAATATTTTGTGTCAAATTCAATGAAGTGAAATTTACCATGGCCGACTGCGAGTCTATTGGGAATGCATTATGTACAAACAAAGGTAATATCCAGAAATATTTCTTGTCAGTGGAGCCTTATTTATCCGGATGCGTTGGTTCTTAGTCAATTTGTCCGGATATGTGAAGCGTCCGAATATCTGAATTACCAGTTAAACAAGACAAAATAAAGTTTAAAAATTCCGTTCCGATGAAAAATCGTCCGAATACTGAAACATCCGGATATCTGGTCTCCGGATATCTGCAGGTCCATTGTATATGTATTCCATATTTCCAACTATTGTTGTCCATTGTGGGACACCAGTCCTTTGGATTAGAAACATATAAACCGAGGTCCCGTATTACATACGCGGGCATGAAAAAGAGCCTTCACTGCTTAAGGAACCTCTAAACACTGCACGCTAAAGAGCTCCACTTATAGGATAGTTTTATGCAGTTAGAGTGATCTGCCCTTAGAAGTAAAATTTTTAAAAATATGTTATTTACAGTTGTTAATAACATGATTTGTAATAGTTAAAATATTTTTAGCATTATATAAGACCAAGAATACAGTATTGAATTCATTATATTCATTAATTTTCACAATATAAGTAAACAGCTGTAATTTCTACTCACAAATAGTTCTTTGTATTTGAATATTTTTCCTGTGGTAATAAGGCAGATACCTTGTGTTATAAATGAATGAAAAAGTCTCAATAGGCGCAACTTTATTTGATATATTTTTCTCCAAATCCAAAAAGCAGTTTCTGTTGTGTTTAGAGCTTCCTTAAAGGCTGTAAATGCCAAGCACGTTTTTATTTGCAGCCGATAAGCGATGGCGTCTCATTTGAATGTGGAATTCTCGAAGGAACGTTAAACAAAGAAACAAACAAAAAATAATTTGCCCAACAAAAGATGACTTCAGCTTTCTTATCGTCGACTTCTCCTTCTGTATTAGTTATATAACGATATCACATTCATATAGAGTTAACATCTCTCATGCAATATTCTATATTCAAATGCAAATTCTAAGAATTATAATTTCTAAACCGATGTGCAGGCTACTGACATAAAAATGTTGTGGACACTATGATTTACTTTTAGGCAAATGATCTTATTTTGATTGATGCTTTTGTATTTATTTTATATTATATTTGCTAACTGCGAAAAAGCGTGGGGCTAAGATTGGGATGATCGTTCAACAAGGAATGTTTTCTCTTTGTGGGCACTTGATCCCGCCACTGGAATTTCAGTGGGTCCATGTGTTTGCCTCGTTTACATTAAATTGTTTATAGAACCTTTTTGCAAACGATAACTTTTCGTTATGATGAATTTTTTTTTATTTTAACCAAACAATATATTGTCAAAAAAGGAATGCATTTAGCAAGAATTCAAGGATTGAGATAACAGTGATCGATCTGAAATAATCTTAAAGCAATACAAATATGTGAAGAGATCATACACATTGACCCCTGGAAATCTCAAACTCTCTATAACAAAACCATGTTTTAATTGGTTTTATTGAATTCAATCTCTATGTATTTTCTTTTTTAAGTTCTTCTGGGTAGCTACACATGGCTAAAAGCTATGCAGAAATGTGATGAACAATCAACGGCTGCTGATTATCTAGAAGCTGACATAGATTTATATGTACATTCAGCGTTCTCCAATCTTTGCACTAATTATAACATCTCACTTAGTGGTCCTTTGTGGCTTGGAATTCAGTCCTCAACCTTGGAATTAGAATACAAAGATGGTAAAGAGAAGTCATTTTATCTTAATTCATTGGTTTTTATAAAATCTATGTTTTTTTCTGTATCTGTCTTAAATACATAGATACTTTGATTTTACATAAGTAAAACTAAAATAAAGTAAAATACACAAACAGAATGATGATCTCAGTTGATTTTCAGATTTAACAAAAGTCACAAAGGATATGAAATGTCAAAGTTGTCGCAAGGTTTGCAAGTTCGAAGACTGCAGTAAATCAAGACAAGCATTTTGTGAAGCCGTAGGTCGTTTTGCATTTTACTATCCTGTGTAGTCGTGCTTCTAACTCGTTATAATAAGATCATTGTCTCACTATAATCATGAAAAATATCGAGATAACGAACAGTATTCAAGATCAAAAGTCCATTAAACAATACAAAATAGGAGCAGAGCAAACACGAACCTCCAAAACATCGGAGGTGGGATCAGGTACCATGGAGGAGTGAGCATCCCCTGCTGACCGACCACACCCGACGTGTGCTCCTTGTCATGATCGGGATATGATGGGAGAAATCCGTCATCAATTCAGTGCATAAATAATGGACTAACAATTAGTAGGAAAAATATCAGTCAGCATTTGACTCAATGATAAATTGTATTTGCTGACAAGGTCATTGTATCGACCATAGAACTTACGAAATGATGACTTTAAATGAGACTGCTGATATCCTTGTTTCATCAACTTGTTTGTCAATAATTTACCTCGTTCTCTTGTGCCCCAAATCAACAGAGATGTATAAATCTGTATGCAGGTGATAAAGGTATATTGTTGCATATTAAGTAAGGGAAGTTGACGATAGAAATATTAAAGTCGTCACGTTTATCATAGATCTTGGTTGTTAGATAACCATTAATGTCTTTGTCAAGTAAAATTTAAGTATGAAACAGATGTGTCAGACTCTGTGGTATCTTTTTTTATCTTTCGTTGTATCGAGCAACTAGTTTTAACGGGATAATTTTCTCATTTTTCGTAAAAAACCAATTGAATTACTAGTACTTGTTATAATGGTTTTTTTCTTTCACGAGATAATTTACTTGTTTCAGCGAGGAATTAAATGATAAAAATATAACTAAACATTTTTATTCGGGGGTATATAGTTTTTGCCGTGTTGATCTGTCTCTCCATCTGTCTGTTTGTCGGCAAAAACGTTAACTTTGCCAATAACTTTTATTTTAGTGGCGCATGACCTTTATATTTCACATGTGTATTACTTGTGACACGACCTTTCTTTGGGTACCACCAAATTTGACCTAATGACCTTGACCTTCAAGTTTGACCCACTTTTACACAGAAATTACAAACTTTTACTTTGGTCGTATCTTTTGAACAGTAGATACCAGAACTTTTATACTTCACATATGTACGTATTCTTTTTGTAAAGACCTTTCATTAAATACCAACAACCTTGATCTTTTGACCTTGACCTTGGAGATTTCCGTACTTATAAAAAAGAAACTTTTGAAAGATAAGATATAGGGCTTTCATACCTCAAATATGTAATCCTTGTGAAAAGACCATTCATTGGATATCAAGAACTTTGACCTTTTGATCTTGACTTTGGAGATTGGCCTACTTTTGAAAAGCAAACTTTGACCATAATTTTTTAAGGGTTATGGCTAGTGCTTTCATAATTTACATATTGAATCCATGTGACAAGACCTATTATTTGAAAGCAAGACGTTTGACCTTGACCTTGGAGTTCGACCTACTTTTTAAAATTTTTAACCTTGGTCATAATTTCTGCACGGTTAGGACTATGGCTTCCATATTTTACATATGTATTTTTGTGTGGCAAGACTTTTCATTTGATTTGAATTACCATGACCTTTTGACCTTGACCTTGGAGATTTTCGTACTTATGAAAAACTTTAACCTTGGCCATAACTTTTGAAAACTAAGGGCTAGTGATTTCATTCATACTTCACATATGTAATCCTTGTGAGAAGACCCTTCATTGGATAACAAGAACTTTGGCCCTTTGACCATGGAGTTTGACCTTCTCATAAAAAGCAAATTTTGACCATAACTTTTAAAGGGCTAGAGATAGTGCTTTCATACTTTACTTATTTAATCCTTATGACAAGACCTTTCATTTGATAACAAGATCT